GTGCCTATAGGGTTTACGGTGTTTTATTCGTTGAAAGTTTTTGATTGTTTGAATCATATTTACATAAGAAATTGACATATTTAGTGCAATACACCATATTCTAAACCTTTACACAAGTGTTAGAAGTTCAAACGTAGCCATAACCGCAACCTTACTCTTTAGTTCCTATGATGCACAACAATATTCAATTTATTTTGGGCTAATATCGCAATTTCATATGAACAGGTTAATAAACGGTGATTTAATTCAACCTTTATATTGTAAAAACTGATAATATTAATGAAAATGATTTATATATGGTATGAAATGTATATGCACACATATTCAAAGGAATTGTCTCGTTCATTGCATAATTTTTGTGTCGTTTTATAGACAAAGAATGATGCATATTGATCGGCCAGGTGCGCGTTTGTTGGAAACGTTTATGATTTTCTATCATTGTTTCCGATAATATAATCAATTCATATTCGATTAAATAATATTGCGATGACAGGATATCTACCTCTAACTACATTTATTGGAAAATTGTTGGGAAATATATATACCATCTTATGTGTTAATTGGACAAATCTTACATCCATATTCTACATATATAGTTCCATATATGAATAGCTATCTTTTGCAACTTTCATTGCATACGTATGAAGAGAAATAGCTATATAATCATAAACAAACAAAATTCTTATCCCAAAACAAAATATTCGAGTGTTGTGAAATATTATTTTTATTTACGTTAAATTGATGCCAAACATGTGCGCGTGTTGTTCACAATAAGATACGCTGTCAAACCGTCTATTGAGTTGATATATTCAGGACACTATTTAAATTTGAAAATCAGCTTCATTTTATGTTTTGTCTTAAAGTGGCAAATTCTACGTAGAAGCCGAGACCCTTTATACAATTAATGGAAATTAGGTGAGATATATACTGATCAGCATACCAATGTCAGTCTTTTTCCGACGTCGCAAAATGCATAAAACAAGCAATGACATCAACTAAAAATCTTGTATTATTTTCAGCAATTTACATTTGAAAATATGGTTAGTATTCTTGGTAATAACGATGCAAAATTAGTCAACTTACGACCTACACAAACAGGGATAATATGGGGAATCTAAGAACTAAGTTATATATATTGATAGGGCCATCCAAATCGCTATTACGTGCTTTCACACATGTAATAATACGTTGTCACTTTTTTCTTGTAAATTGTGAAAACTAACAAACTGCATCCCGCCTCACACTGGGGAACTTTGAATTGAATAGTTTGGTTCACCATGAACATAAAATAACGAAAATATAAAGGTCATTATCCACAACAAATTTCCTTCCAAGTGATCTGAGTTACATTGATCTATTGTTAGACATAACGGAGTTATGTCCCCTTATCATTATACGTGTATGACCTCTCTATCGTCGTATGACGTCACAGAAGAAATCTCCATTTTTGACATTTATTGCGAGTCATTTTAATGTTGAGCGTATAACGTTATGCACAAGCTAACATAAACCCAATTTATATACACTTATATCGTTCAGATATCAGGCTGCATTTTCTTCTGCTAACACTTTCCCGTAAAGAGGCTACATTAAAAATTCGTAGCACAGTGCTTTTTATCGGTGCGCGATAAAAAAGCGGATACATTTACTGTTTTTAACGCATAACAAACTTTTGGACAACATTTAACAGTGTCTATTTCTCAAACCGCCAAGGAAGTTTGATATTTATACCAACATTTAGGAAATTTAATATTCTACATTTCTGTGTAATTTTATAGCCGTACGCAGATCCAGGACCACGCGAGCGCAATTTCGCACAACGTTCACTTTCAAACCGTATGAAAATGTGCGCCTGAAAAACTCTCGGCATCAAGGGGTTAAGTAAGAAACATATCCATTAAGGAACACCCGACCTTCTTACTGACTGAAGCGCGCGCTTTGTTTTGATTGACAGTTGGATCGGTCTATTTCTTACATAAACACGAATGTGACGTGGATGGAATTTGACTTAACTGGATTTAATTAACTTTAAGGTGTTTTGCCCACATCCGACAGGCTGTTCTTCCTACAATGCTGGATTATGATAATGATTTTGCGTTCTGATATCTATTGTATATAAAATTCCATTGATGAGGGTTTCTAATTTTTACCGTAACACGTGACAGAATTCTGGCAACAATAGGCATCAACAGGCCTCACGTTACGCATGTCACCGAAGCGACGTAATTCTGAAGCTTGTAGAGGTGTAGGTGCATGTCGACTAGGGTACAATACTGGACCCTGTACTTTTCCTAATAAAATCACACGTCTGTTTGAATATATGTTAGATAATGGGTCTGTTTCGAGAATATACCCACACACCAAATTAATCTTGGCGTGGCGTCTGGCAGCCGGACAGTATATCATTATCAGGCTACAATAGGCCTGGCTCACAAGCGGTTGATCCGTTCACGCAGTCAGGCGCCAAAAATATGACCGACTCTACTGACACGTCATAGTGACGTCATAACCAGCACCTTCGGTGGTGTGTCGTCGCCGTCAAGGCAGTTCATGACTGACACTAGAAGTGTATTACTTGTGCTGAGCGTGAAGGGCGGTGAGTTACTGGTTTCTACTTTTACACTTATTGTGAAAATAACATGGATCCAGAAATTGGGAATAGAGTAAGATTGATTGACAGTATATGTTTACGTAATGCCCCGCCTGCCTCACACAAAGTTTACACCCAGACCACACTGGCCTGTATCGGAAACAAATGGCGGCGACAATATATATACATTCATGAGCCAACATTGTTTTAATTTTACCGATCGGCGGAATGCGAGACAATTTTGGCACATGTGTGAACCTTGATGCCAGGTATATGCAACACAGACGTGATGGTTAGGCCGTGAATAATTTGGTAGACGAAGCTTCATGCCACACACGAGGTCCATGACTAGATCTACAGTATAGACTTTCTCACATTACAGTTTCGAAAATGTGTGGAAAAAGAGTAGAATTCTGTAGCAGTTATTTTATAGAATGACGAGGTATAACATTCGTAAGGGCACGTGTGCTGGATTCTCCTATTCTCTGACTGACTGCAAAATAGACCATCGCAGCATCGGCGTCCATCACACGGACAATCACAATATCAACCCTTGTACACACACAGACCCGTGCAACTTGGACGTAATTTCCATAGAGACTTCTTACATGTTATTTCAGTGTAGTATAAATAATCTAGATCTAGACCTACTGCACTTGCGTATTTCTGCAAACAAAAACACATATGTATGTTTTGCCGTTAGGTTAGACATAGTGCTGTTTACATCTATCGTTATAATTGTCAATTTGTTTTATGTCGTACGGCTAATTTGAATTTGAATTTAGCAATTTACCCAACCTGCCTGAAACTGTTATGAACCCAAGAAACACTGCATCCCTACAGACTAAAAGAAAAACATTCTTCCCAGAACACGTGGTCGTGTCCTTCTCATTCTACCAACAATCCATACAATCAAACAAATAGCTAATCAATCCAGACTGTGGTAAGGTAGATGATGTAATTCCTCCTGTTCCAATACAACTGCTTCACATCTCCAGTATTGTACTGTATTGAAGATATGCTTTTTCTTGAGTGTGTATATAGTGACAAAACTGTTAATGCTTTTAGTGTCTAAACTTATGTTACTACACAACTTAAAACTGTAATCAACAAATTCCACATAACAACAAAGAGAGACAATGTATCTGGGTAGGTAAAAACAAAGACGCTGTATAGCTTATGACACTGAGCCATGAACGTTAGTACATGTAATAGGATTCTGAAAGTGTTTTTCTTCCAACAGTCTAAATTTGAGTTGTATTGAGAGATTACCCAGGATACAAAACCATTAGACATTCTGATAACAAGTCGGTATTTTATTTAGTGGAAAAAATGGAAATCAAAGTGATATTTTAACATCATATTTAATAACAGCCCATGCCCTGTTTCAGTCTGGACTGGTCGGAACCACTGCCCCAAGTGACCACAGAGAGTCGTTGATATACAAATTGGTAGGTGGGAAAACACAGCCGGTGCTAGCTCTCCTTAATCTGGGGAACATGTGTTTACTATGCCATGATAAGCGTGCATACTTTAATCTCTAACCTCAACATAGGCCATTTGTTGCATACCCGGGTCAGTATTTGTAATGCCATTGTGCTCTATATAGTTCACCAAACAGGCTATTTGTTGTATACCTGGTCAGCATTTGTAATGCTATTGTGCTTTATATAGCTTTACTAAACAGGCTATTGTGCTCTATATAGCTTTACTAAACAAGCTATTTTGTATACCTGGCCAGTATTTGTAATGCTATTGTGCTCTATATAGTTCACTAAACAGGCTATTTGTTGTATACCTGGCCAGTATTTGTAATGCCATTGTGCTCTGTATAGTTTACTAAACAAGCCATTTTTTGCATACCCGGCCAGTATTTGTAATGCTATTGTGCTCTATATAGTTCACTAAACAGGCTATTTGTTGTATACCTGGCCAGTATTTGTAATGCTATTGTGCTCTATATAGTTCACTAAACAGGCTATTTGTTGCATACCCGGGCCAGTATTTGTAATGCTATTGTGCTCTGTATAGTTTACTAAACAAGCTATTTTTTGTATACCCGGCCAGTATTTGTAATGCTATTGTGCTCTATATAGTTCACTAAACAGGCTATTTGTTGCATACCCGGCCAGTATTTGTAATGCTATTGTGCTTTATATAGTTTACTAAACAGGCTATTGTCCTCTATATAGTTCACTAAACAGGCTATTTGTTGTATACCTGGCGAGTATTTGTAATGCTCATGTGCTTTATATAGTTTACTAAACAGGCTATTGTGCTTTATATAGTTTACTAAACAGGCTATTGTCCTCTATATAGTTCACTAAACAGGCTATTTGTTGTATACCTGGCCAGTATTTGTAATGCTATTTTCCTCTATATAGTTTACTAAACAAGCTAATGTGCTCTATATAGTTTACTAAACAGGCTATTCTCTGTTTCAGACTCCACTGATCCCAGTCAGGGTGGGAGCGAGACGGACCATCTGCTCCCAGGGGCCAAACCAATGTCTTCTACACACGGTAGGTGGGGGAACACAGCAGGTGGTTGCTAACCCCTACCCTAGTAACAACCTGACAGATAGACGGTAGGTGGGAGAACACAGTAGGTGGTAGCTAACCCCTACCCTAGTAACAGGCTGATAGATAGACGATAGGTGGGAGAACACAGCAGGTGGTAGCTAACCCCTACCCTAGTAACAACCTGACAGATAGACGGTAGGTGGGAGAACACAGCAGGTGGTAGCTAACCCCTACCCTAGTAACAACCTGACAGATAGACGGTAGGTGGGAGAACACAGCAGGTGGTAGCTAACCCCTACCCTAGTAACAAGTTGATAGATAGACGTATCATCGATTGATGTTCATGATGTCAGTCACTGGGCTGTCAGGATCAGACTCCGTCATCAAACAGACGCAGTAAACCAGTGTAATATGCTTATATCTGTCCACCAAACATGAACACTCTCCAGCCAAACACAGAATATTATTGATAGAAAGGCTTATTTTAACAACAAACAATCCTTCATTACATTAACCAGTTGTCGTCCTTCACCAAAGTCTCCGTGGAATTGTTTAAATGATGCATCTATGTCCATGTCTGTATCAACACTCTGTGATGTAAACAATGTACAACACAGATGTCCCAATGTGTACACAGTTTACTTTGTGTTACAGCGACTCCATCACAAGCAGGCCACGACCTCTACTACGCCAGCAGGAGCGGTGACCTGGAGGAGGTGAGGCGGATCCTGGCAGCGGGTCACGCGGACATCAACAGTAGAGGACGGTGGAGCAGGACACCGGTGATGGCGGCAGCAGAGTGGGAACACGGGGAAGTGGTGGAGCTGCTTGTGAGTCGAGGTGCTGATGTGTCACTGGTGGACGATGACGGTGACAACACCCTTCACTGGGCCTGTATGGGAGGAGACAGGGAGACAGTGGAGTATGTCCTGTCTCTGGACGGGATGGACGTCAACAGTAGAGGATGGAGGAGCTGGACACCGGTGATGAGGGCAGCACGTGAAGGACACAGGCATGTGGTGGAGTTCCTTGTGAGTCGAGGTGCTGATGTGTCACTGGTGGACGATGTCGGTAACAACATCCTTCACTGGGCCTGTATGGGAGGAGACAGGGAGACAGTGGAGTATGTCCTGTCTCTGGACGTGGTGGACGTCAACAGTAGAGGATGGAGGAGCTGGACACCGGTGATGAGGGCAGCACGTGAAGGACACAGGCATGTGGTGGAGCTCCTTGTGAGTCGAGGTGCTGATGTGTCACTGGTGGACGATGACGGTGACAACATCCTTCACTGGGCCTGTATGGGAGGAGACAGGGAGACAGTGGAGTATGTCCTGTCTCTGGACGTGGTGGACGTCAACAGTAGAGGACTGAGGAGCAGGACACCGGTGATGAGGGCAGCACGTGAAGGACACAGGCATGTGGTGGAGCTCCTTGTGAGTCGAGGTGCTGATGTGTCACTGGTGGACGATGTCGGTAACAACATCCTTCACTTTGCCTGTATGGAAGGAGACAGGAAGACAGTGGAGTTTGTCCTGTCTCTGGACGGGGTGGACGTCAACGCCAGGAACAACTCCGGGCAGACAGCGGCCGACGTGGCGAGAGACTTGGAACATCGTCAACTGTCGGATCTCCTGGTGTCACGTGGTGGACACTGAAGTCAGTGTGGTGTTGTTGTAGACAGTCATGGAGTACATGTCATTACTGACACTGACGTGGTGTGTGACGTTCACGTCATCGTGTTTTATATTTCAGCATTAAGGTGAGGATGTTTGACGTATGTTAGGAAAATAAAACTTGTGAAACATTTTCAGATATTTTGTCATTTGTTGTGTTTGGAACTTGATCAGGTGAGTGTAAATACAGATCCTAAGTAATTGGTATATCGTAATTTCGTAATATAATTCTACGTAAATCATTTGTCATGACATGTTTATGTTCATTAGTTTGTAATTAATCACAACATATACAACAACAAACGGTTTGTTTACATCTCGCTGCACTCTGTGACCTCAGAGTGCAGCGGTTCGCCAGTGATTTGGCGCTCAACGTACACTGACAGTGACGTCACACTACTGATGACGTCACGTCATTGCGGCCAGGGTCTTACACTAGTCCCCTGAATGCCGAGATTTGTTACTGACGCACATTTTAATAAATTCTAAAAAGTGAAAGTACAGCGAAAATGTTTGCTCGCGTGGCACTGGATCGACCTACGGCTACAAACATTACACAGAAATATAGAAAGTTAAATTTCCTATCCGAGGGTATATAAATTCAAGTCAAATACTTAGTCGGTTAAACCCCTGGATGCCAAAGTTTTATTTTCTGACGCACATTTCCATAAGATCTGACAAGTCGAACATCCTTCTCGCATCACTGGATCTACCTACAGTTATAAAATTACACAGAAATGTAGAATATTACATTTCCTGTCTTATGTTAACTCAAGTGCAAATGCTTATACGCGGTTTGAAAAATAGACACTGCTAAATCTTGTCTGAAGTTTTGTTATGCGTTAAAAACAGTAAATTTCTCCGCTTTTATCGTACACAGATAACCGCACTGTGCGACAGTTCTTCAAGCGTATGTTTAAGTGTAATGAAATTACTGAAATTATCAACATTTTAGTTGACGTCATGGCTCATAAGTAATAAGTGGGTGGGTGTGGTTTTACGCTGCTTTTGGGTCTTCACACACTGCACCCATGTGGGAAATCGAACTCGAGTCTTCAGCGTGACGAGCGGACACTTTAACCATTAGGCTACCTGACCACCCCCAATGTAACTGAGGTCATTTGGAGAGAATGGACTGTGGATAAGGACACTTTTTTCTGAGTTTTCGTTCACGATGAACCATTTTATTCCTATATCCTTATTTGGTAGAATCACAAATTACGAGAAATGTTGAAATTATACAAAATGTGACATCACGTAATAGCGAAATGAGTGGCCCTATCCAATATGTAAGTCAGTTCTTGTAGAAATATTACACGCAGTTTTTATTTATTTTGCACCATTATTAACCGAGTTCTATGACAAATTTCACCTTATTGTGTAGCTCGATGCTCATGCTATTGATCACTGGAGTATCTGGTCCAGACCCGATTATTTACAGACCGCAGCCATATAGCTGGAAAATGCTGGGTGCGGCGTTAAACAAAAAAGAAAAACAACAAAAATAACCAAAAAAAACATCAATCGTTTCGGTGATGTCACTGTCACTGTCGTAGATGCAGGATTCCATGGTACATATTTCAGATCTCAGATACATCCTGAACTTTTTTCTTTTCGTGTTGTCGCCATGATAGAAATACTGGAGCCTTCCCTGTCCATGCTGCTAGTGTTTACCCCAACCCAATCACTCACAATATCCCCCGTATTGCTGATGGATCACGTGAGTCGCCGGAAGTGACACATGTCGTCGTATCGCGTAGTTCGCTGCTCATGTTGCTGCTAACTGGATTGTCTGGTCCAGACTCGATTATTTACAGACCGCCGCCATATGTATATCTATAGCTTGAATACAGCTCAGTACGGCGTAAACCAACAAACTAAACAACCAATCTCAAGTATACAATGAAAGAAAAAGAGCTCCTTGTGTTTGGGACTATCAGAATAATGTAAGGTTTGGCCGAAGGAAGGCATGGCAGGTTGATATATGTTTTAAATTCTTGTCGAAATATAGTTACTGTCTATTGTCATCACGACATCACAATATTATAAAATAATAAAAATAGATTGATTATATCATAGAAAACATGGCGAGTACATGATAAAACGATTGTCAAGCGCGCACCTGGCCAGTCATCATACATTATTGTTCTGTCTATAACGGCATAAACAAATTCCATAACCAAGACAATTCCTTTAAAACTATGTGCATATACATTTGATAAAACATATCAAACATTCTCTTAAATTATCATTGTAAGCTTTACATATAAGATTAAATTAAAATTGATGTTTATTGACCTGCCGACATGAAATCACAATATTGAATATTGCACATAACAGGAACTGAAGTACATGTTGCAGATACACCAACGCCTTTTCTTCTGACACTTGTATAAAGGTAATAAATATGGTGTACTACGCTTGATGACTAGATTTCTTATGAAAAACAAAGAAAAGCTTTCAAAGGATACAATCGCATTGCCTATATCCACGCATGATGTGGATACTGATGTAGATAATGAATTCAGTGCCGCCAAATAATATTTGAAAGATGAAAATGTACATTATAATACTGAAACTATGAGCAGTCGGATAGGTTCATTGTGTTTTACTCTGATTTAACCGACTTCCACTATAAACTGCCAATTATACATTATAACACTGAAACAGTGAGCAGTCGGATAGGGTGATTGTGTTTTACTCTTATTCAACCGACTTCCACCTCAAACTGCCAAATATGTACAACAATGTTGGCTGACATCACTACCGATGACTGATTTGTTTACGTTTTGCGAGGGACCTTTCCTTGATTCAGGGATCGTTTGAACATAAATGCGTGATGTAAGTAATCAGAAAAAAAAATAACCAATGACTATCTGTGTATTGTCATTTGTGTTTCATTGCAAACAAGAGAAGTAGTCAGAAATATTAATACCGCAAATACCGTTGTCGTGCGTGATTTTGCGTCTGTCATGACGTTATTCAGGACGGTAACTTGGACAATTTTGTTTGAATTCACGAAATCATTGTAATGTATCTATTTTAGTAAATTTCCAACGTCCTCCTACAAAACTCTCCCTGTGCATATTCTAAAAGTACAGAGACAATGCATGCAACGAATGATGTCTTAAATTTCGAGAGATAACTACACCGTGTAAAATCTGTTTTTCTCTTTCATATTTCATACCAGCCAAGTCTTATGAGCGCAACCATCGTTTTCACACCAAGTATATTTAGACACGTTTATCGATGACAAACACCTTTTGTTGTTTGATTCTAAAATGTATGAGAAATCCTGTGATGTATTTGTCGCAGCTGAGCGTGAAGTATACCTGATGTAATAGGTGTCTCATGGCCGGACGACACGTGAGTTTGTAAACACTATTCAATATAGCGGAAAGCTCACTTTGGCGTTCGTGTTCGTGTATTTTCCAAAACATCACAACCGATTCTAGGGTAATCAGCGACCTTTCAGTGTAACCTTTGCTGATTTCATGACAAACAGACATCAGGAATCACTAAAGATCTATTGTTAAAATACGAGGAAATATCTGAAATTTACACTTCAAACATACACCAAATACTGAATGGCGATTTCATGTTGTGTCAAAAATGACGATTTAGATGTACTGCAGTACCTAATTTTCACAGATCATTTCCACAAATGTCTGCTTTACCTCAGATGCCACTTGGTGTTGCACGATACAGGAAAATTCCCCAGATGTCCAAACTGCATGGTGTATTTGTGTTTGTGATGTCTGTGATATATTATTCGAGTTAAAAGTGAAGTTTAATATCCTGGACATATATGGCCCTATGGCATCAAGGGGGTCAACGCTTATGGATACGATGACCGTAAAGCTCGATGTGGATTTGTTCTTCCTTTCATTAACCGTGTTACAATGGCGTGATGATTGGTTTGTGAGACAGTATAGTCGTGTAGAGTAGCTGGCACACGTATTTGCTCACGTTATCTGCGACAGATTCCGTCCGGCTCGGAAAACTCTGTAAACATTCCTTATTAAGACGTTATTTTTTCTGCCACTTTATAATTTTCTCATATCTGTACTTGTGATGTTACCATTAAAATCTCTTTTATTTCTTATAAATTCATAAAGGAATAAAAACGGGCCATAATTAATTACTTCGAGATTACCCGAAAGGCGCCTATTATCTGTTCATCTCGCGCCCAGGGCAGGAGCCCTTGTATTTAATGAGCTAGCTTAGTCCGTTGTTTGACCACAGCGCACATTGTTTGTCTTATATATGGCGGTGATACCTACACTGACAAAGTTTAATAGCAACATATGTTATATTTGGGATTACACTTTCTTAGTAAAGTACTATTTCTCGTACTTTTTGAATTGAGTTCCATCAGGGATTCGAACCCACACCCTCAGAGTCAGGCACCAAATCGCCAGCACACAAAGTCAGAAGCCCCACCCGCTCGGCCACCGCGACTTCCACAAAAAATGAAAGTTGGACAACTGGTAGTCCAGACTGCGGACTTTATGTACCCCTCTGATAAGTGTTAATTAGCACGGCTCCAACGGCCGAAAGCTATGATTACACAATGCCAGTTTAGAAAGTGTTCAAATGCAACATATGAATTTCACCCAAGTATGAATGCATTTGAGAATTTCTTTTCGTCATTTGCATAAAGCTGTGTAAAGGTCACATGCAACGTAAAACACAACTTTGCAGATTCTGATACCTTTCGGTATGGACATACCGAAACAAATCGTCAAAAATGCAAATTCACACATAAAGTTGAAAAATAACGCGATGAAAAAAAACGCGCGAAATCGGAGTTCAAACGTTTCACTAATTTTCCCCAGACTTTTCTGGGGAAAACGGGTTTCAACAGCTGGGCTGCGCTCATAGCACGTGCGCAAGTAAATAGGTTCGCCCAGCTTGGAAGCGGGTTGTCGGGTGAATACTCGGTGAAGGCTTTGGTGTGAGCTATTTTTCTAATGTTTTGTTGATATCTCACAGGCGCGAGCTTTTTATATGTTATGACAGTAAATTTACTGTTTATATAATTTCATTTGTCTATTTCACCACACGTTCTTCTTACCCAGACATTTTCTCAGTTCGATACTTAAAAGCAATGTCATTATTTAGCGTTGACAG